TTTCCTATGTCTTAGCATTCCGAGTCAGTCGGAACAACGCGCATGTATAAAAAAAAAAATACAACACAACATAAAATTAACTAACATTTCATCAAGCCGTGAAAATAAACCCGAAAACGCCGAATCTAACAGGGCCCATTAGCCTATAAACACGGTCGGAAACTTTGTCAAAAATTAATGCAAAAAGGAATTTCTAAACAGATGTTGCTACATGAAAAACAAAACTTCAAATCACAGACAGTTTGCGCGCCTTTCGCGCGCACGTCCCTCTGTCTGTCCCTCTGTCCATCCATACCCTACGCGCCACCAACGTCCCATCACCGCTTGTCGCGCCACTCACCGCCGCACTAAGACCGCAACTTCCACCCATGCAGCGCGATTTCAGGTATTCTCTCTCCCTCCGATGTTCAGCCCTTTATAAGGTCTCTGGCCAGCGCCCTCCCTCCTTATCAAACACCTCCCCCAACTCCATATAACCTTTCCCTCATCCGCTACCCTCCTCATCCAACCTCCCACTCCAATCCCATCACCTAGCGCAAACACCAGCACACTTTTTCACAGAGTACACGCTTCTGAATTGCCTAACCATCTCTACCCGCCCGCGCGCCCCGTTACCGGGCCGGCGCGAGCTCGCCGCGCCAACCGGAAGCCCCTGCACTTGCTCCTACCGCCTCCTCCCAGCCGTACGTACGTCCAACTATTCCCACCACCCTCCAAACACGAGCTCGCACCTCCTGCTCACCGCACGACGACACCGGCCTCAATAAGCCACGCTCAAACAGCCTATCGAGCCTCCTCCACCAGACATTATTGCATTTACATTTCGCCTACACAATCCCAGACCTCGCCTGCGCACAACCTGCTGGCCGGGTCAAAGTCAATGCTGAAGTACAGCAGCACAGCTTGCCTCTTCACACCCCCGGAGACACCGAGACTTCCCACCGTGCGCCGACCACCCCCGCGTTTGCCGCGGACTGTCATAACTACCTCTGGTACAACCAAAATTCAACAACTAGAGTTACTTTTAAATAGCTCCTTAACTTTCACCGCACTTAGAAATGTGCGACTAAAGCGCGCAACCCGAGCAGATTGCGAAGCTTGTTTCACAGGCGGAGGCAAACGTCAACGGCAAACTGCCTCACGCTTAAAAAAGTAATAATTAGCCGCCAAATGGACTACGCATGCCCGAGTTGGGCATGCAGCAAAACTATCACTTAAACAAACTGCAATAGTTCAAAATGAGCCAGGCCCGCCTCTGCCCCTAGAGACACTCGATTCTCACCACCAACCCCCCCGCCTACACTCGCGCAACATCAGTGCACTTGCTTAAAACCCACTCTAAAACAACTTTAGCAACAAAACTTTTTGAGAAGCAGCTGACTCGGAAATAACTCCCATTCGCGATCGCCACATACGAGCCCGATATCAAGGCGAAGTAACGGGACGAAACACTTTCTGGCAGTAAAGCAATCTGATAAACCGCAAACAGTGCGGATTGGGCATAAACCATCCAGTATCTACACAAACACGCAATGCGCGCCCCGTACGGCTAATGTCGTCCTCCTGACGTCTGTTTCTTTTCTTATCCGTACAGGATAGCGCCATACCAGCCCTAAGCGCGTGGAATGTCCCACCCGCGCGCGGTGGCGTGAACGCGCATTGCACTTTAAGTGCGTTCACAAAACTGCACAGATTTGCTCCTCGGCGAGCACCAGGCAGTGTGTGCGAGAAGTCCGGCGTGTCTAAGAGAGCCAATGAAGATTTCGGGTACTGGTAATAACTTGGCATTGTGTTTGGATATTCTACTGGATTAACTGTCGACTGTGCTACACATCGTACATCTTCTGGTTTAATGTGATTGTGGCTTCGTTTCTGGATATTCTACTGTTTGTAAGCAATCTGCCTGTAAGCTGAATGAAACTTTATGTTGTTACATTGTGTTTTTGCTGGATTCTACAGTATGCACGATGGAATATCTCACGGTATTTCTCGTCTTTCTCGGTCGTGCCGCTCGATGGTGCATGATCGTCAGCGCTTTTCGATACAGTCGCGATCATATAACGGCACGACCGAGGAAGAAGCGAAATACCTTGAGATCGGTAAGGCATCGTGAAGGCAAGGACTCGCGCGCCAAGAAATAAAAACCAAAGTATACTAGTATGGCTGCTGCAATGGAAAATATAAGTACGGAGTGCGATTTGATTTATTCTTTGCCGATATTATTGGCGGGGGTCCTTATTAAATGTACCTTGGGGAGTGGGGCAGGTACCTGTTGCACCAGCCTAGGTACGCCCTAATCCTAATGATCAGGCCTGCACAACGCCTGCTCCCGCGGGCATTCTGCACCAATAAAAGCCGAAAGTGCAAGTGGTGGGGTGAAGGCAGTTTTGGGGGAGGGGAGAAGCTGAAACGGGGTCGACGCGGCGCGTAGATTGAATGCTTGGGTGTCTAATGCAATGATCCATGCTGTGAAATGATTTGCCCGCTTATATAAACGGGCAATCTATCGTATTTGCAGCGACAAAGGCCATACTTTACTGTTTATGTTCGACTGTAGACTGCCCTTTTTCGACGTAATTTTTTTAATTTTTTTAAAATTTTTTTTATTTACTTTGTGCTCATTGCAACTCAATATTTTAAAGCAGTGGCCTCGTTTAGAAAATGTATTATGTAATTTTAACTAACAACAACTTAGAGTTTCACTGTTGATTTTTCACCATAAATATTATAATTTTCAAATAATTACAAAACGGAGAAAATTGAGAGGAGTCTCCCGCATCGAGATTAACATAAAAATGAAATATAGGCTATTCGAAGAAGGGTAATGTGTGGCAGCCCATATATTTGTGATCATTTCCCCTCTTTATGAAGCTGAATAAGAGATACCAACGAGAAAACCACTCACGATATTTCACGGGCAATCATGATATTATTATTAGTCTTGTTAAATAAAGCGCAGGAAGCATAATCTTTTTTGTGCGAAGTCATAAACGATTATGAATAAATAGCGTTCGCTGATTTGAAATTACAAATATAATGTCCACTTGTCGGAAATAAGAGCAGAAAGTAATCATGATATTTTAAGAATTTTTAGCTTTGATAGAACCGTCTTTATCAATTAAACTTTGTTAATGAAAACTAATTTATTACTCTCATCATCAATGACAAAAGATTCTATATTAAAATTGTGTATGAAGCAGAACGCTAAATTTGCAATTACGTCGTAAAAAAAGCAATTAAATAATTAACCTTACAAGTGATTAAAATACTGATGTCCAAATCAAATACGTATGTCTAATTTGTTTTAGGTTCATACTTCACATTGTCATACATCGTCTGCATTTCCAAAGTAAAAGATAATGATACTTGAACTGTATGTAATAGTCCATGATACTCGCACTTGTGCTTTCAATTTACGCGCTACGATTCGAATTGCGCATTCTCATGGGCGATCTCCACTCTTAGAATTAATTTTATCCCTAACCATCCCGCGGCCAGGATTTGCACTTAGTTGTTCGCGCGCAGCTCTCGAGGTCAGTCAATGTGCAAAATGCTGTGCAGGCCTGCTAATGATGACCAACGGATTCAAAAGAAGAGGAGCGAATTTGTAATTTACGTGTTGCTCTGTATTAGAAAAAATGAATTATCAAGTTCATTAAGTACTATTTTGTAATAGATGGGATCTTGATTAAACCTTTCTATCACCGATTTATATTCGGCTATACTCACCCAATTGACCCCTTGATTTTTACTGACTCCCAAGAAGTCGATACCGACCTCTTTGTGAATCCCTGATCTATAGTTTCATCTAGTAATAAGATCCTGCCACAGCTGCACTCAAGCAGCCACAAGCCATGCTACTACCATCAGCATGTTTGTTTGAAGGAAATATATTTTTCCCCTTCAGTTTTTGCTTCTTTTTTATTCACACTTTCTTATAGTTTCCTTAAAAACTCACGCATCTTCCTGCGTTAGTAAATAAAACTTAATACCCGCATAGGTGGCTCAGGGCATCAATTGATGTCACTACAGTGTTTCTGACCGGGAAGTCCGAGGATTCGAGTCCCGACGATTGCAGGATTTTCGACACTAGCTAGACAGCTAGGTCGAATTCATCTGCTGTCTGTTCGGTAGTTTTTCCGTGGTTTCTCCGATCACCAGACGAATGTCGGAGCACTTCCTTAACAAAATGATCACAGACCGCGCGATCCTTCGCTTCCATTTCCGTGTACTCTCCTCACCCCTTACACACACACAAACACGCACGTACTACACTACCACACATGCCGGGTGGCTGGTCGGGAGCTTAGATCTTGTGGCGGCTGGGGCGGTGCCCCGCTAATTGGAGATACCTGGTTAGGGAGACAACTTTTTGCAGCACTTATTGTAGTGTTAATTTGCAACTTTCTGAAATCTAGTCTCCTCACTTAGTTATTTAATTAGAACAACCACTCCTATCCTAATTTTTTATCGCCTTTCACTCTCCTGTCGATAATTACCTAAATTGTGTATCTTTCTCTTCCTACCATTTTCGATATTTGAAATAATGACAAACAATAATTATGAGCCCTTATCTTCCCCTATGATAATCTTCATCCGTGATTTCCTTGATTTTTACGGCCAATTTTATTAATTATTCATTATCACATGTCATAAACAAAGAAATAAAGATATTCCATGATACGGTGTGGCTATTGGGGTGCAAATTGCGTGCAGCTAATGACATATTGTAATTCGGCTAAACACAACTTTATTCCATTTCATTTTGTACATTTGTTGAAACTCTGTATACAATTCAAATGCCGTTCTCAAAATTAATTTTCCAGCTTCTTAGCGGCGTGACGCTTCACTCGTCACGCCAGGCCGTCATCTCCGGCAGCGTAGAGCAGAAGTCCCTGCTGCAGCCTCCCTTGCTCGGCCGTGACCGGCTGTCGTCGCAAGGGCCACGGCCCCAGTTGGACCAGGGGCGGATCCAGCCGATCTTTTTGAAGGCGACCATCCCAGATTTAGGTTAAATAATGAAATAGTCGACCACGAGCGCTCCTGGCTCAGTGGGTGCGCGGGCCTCCCTCGGCCCGCAGCTCCCGAGGGCTCGCGTCGCTTCGCTGACGGGCGATCTCGCAGCCTCCCTCTCCGTCGACTCGCTGCGCTGGCCGAGTTCCGTCTCGTCTCACTCTCAGTACGGCGTAGGCTACCGCACTCTTCGCTGCCTGGAACTATATAGTCTGGTTACTCACTGTCCTGTCGGAACTGTGCTGCTTTGTTGTTGTTGTTTTTTCTTTTTTTTCTCCTTCACTTGCCCCTCTAGTTGCCCTAGAGAGGCGGGAATTTATTCATTAGTTAGGATGCTTAACGCTGCAGCCGATAAGGCTTATACAGGGGAGATTAGGGCCTATCTTAAATAAACTAACTGGGCTCCTTATATATCAGAGGCTCCCAACAGCGTTGGTGTCGACCCCTTCGGTCGGGTGGTTGAGTGACTAATTAAAATTCTACTTTGCTTTCTACATTAAGAAATTTGTTTCTTTCTGTCACATCTTTCAAATACACTGATATTCTTGCTCCTTTCATTACTTGCTGTTTAACTTTATTACACGTATTCCATATGCTTGAAATTTCAACTCGTAAATCAGTGAATTTCATTACTTGCTCTCTTATTCCATTATTTTTCATCAGTTTGCACCATATAGGCTCTTTTGAGATCACCATTGATCTTTTTTGTCAGTTGAGATGACCATATTATAAAATATTATTCTGCTAATTATATTATTCTGCACTTTTAGAAAATTTTTGAAAGAGCCTTTGCAAGTTGTCTTCTGAATCCACGTAACACAATATATTCTCTCACTACCCATTCTATATGCACATTTTTACACCGTCAATAAGCTTGTCCATAATTAAAGTAAAAAGTGTAGTACTTAGAGAATCCCCTTTTTAATGCCAGATGCACATGAAATTTCATCTGTTACCATATTTCTAATTTGCACTTTTGTGACAGCGTTCATATTAATATCCTCTATTACTTTTATTAATGCCTTTGGTATGGTCTTCTTTCTCAAGATTGTTATATATTGTAATCTTACACGATCGAATGCCTTCTTTAGATCTACAAAACATTAAAGGCAGGATTGTTCAATGCGATCGCCTTTTCGTCTACTTGACGAATTACAAATACGACATCTGTTGTTGATCTATTTAAACTAAATTCTTGTTGTTCTTCATTTATCTGTATAAATGGCTGTATCTTGTGTTTTATTGCATAAAATATAATTGTTATATCAACTTGTTTAAATTTACCTGGTTTATAGGTCCTTTAAGAAAAAGTGTTTATTATTTAACCTGGCAGTGCATTCGTGTGGTCTGTGAAATCCGAGTGCCGCTCAGTATGCATCATTTCTGCATTTTGTTGTACTATGTACTAAGCGCCATTTGACCTTACCGTTCATGATGACTTTTATCTAATTCAAATTTCTGAGAGATTGCGGTTGGAAGTTAGGGATATGGGATGTTGCCACAAAGTCGGTCCGCGGCCCGTGGTTGAGACCACTCAGCCTATGGGGTTTTATCTTCCCAATCGGATGATACATCCGTTTTGCCAGTCTTAGCTGAATTTACCAACCCAACAGGGCATGCATGAGTCCCATTTGACCTTACATCCGGGCGCGAAGCTTAGTGGCAAGCTACAGTTTCAAATTCATCGAATTTCTTCGGTATATATGTTGCCCTGCGAGATATGCGAGAGAATGAACGCAGTTTTTGACGAATTCTAGCTGCGTGGACACGTACGTCAGAGTGAAGTTCGTCACACAGCCAAGAGTAAATGTAGAATGAAGTTTTCTCAATCTGAAATGTAAATTAGATGATAGAAGATATAGCAATTTATCAAAAAATTAATTTGGAAATGTACATAATTGTAAAACAGAATGAAAACAATTAAGCACTGTCCTTGCATAACTTTATTATTTTTGGTATCTTAAGGTATTTTTGTGTTACTTTTAATTTGGTGTGAATAATATTTAAAATATTAAATACGATTTGTTTAAACAATATGTACAACCTAATTATAGTAAAAGCACCAAAATCCTAATATTTCTTTCCCCTTCAATTTCACATCCAAAATGTAAAATAAGTTGACAAGTGACTAACTGGAGTTTTTAGACTATATAACACAATTTTGCAAAGATTTGATATTTTTATTGTATACATTTGCACGTTGTGGTGTTTTTAATGAACGGAAATCCTGTCCTTAATCATAACACATTTGAATTTCAAAATTACCTTCGTAAGAAATACATGGTATTGTTTTAAATTGGTTATGTTCGTACCTTAAACAACGATCTCAGAAACTAGGAATTTCAAAATGGAATGATGAAACATTACTTACTCACCTTTCCGATTCATTACCAATTGCGCATGGGGCCCAACAGGTTTCGATTTTAGACCCTATTCTCTTCCTACTACGCGTAAACTATATGCCATCGACGATTCGAAATCGAAGGTCATTGCGGACGATATGAATTTTCCTTGCAATAACGAAACGGCAAATAGTTTACTATCACACGTTTTTAAATTGGCTCCGTAATAACAAATCAATAGTAAACGAAAAGAAAACTGTTTTAATGCACTTTTACAATAAACAATTGTACACCATTACAAATAAACGATTTTATTAATTGAAAATGAACGATGTGCAATTGACTGATGTTAAGGTAACAACATTTTGTGATGTCTCAATTCAGTCAAACCTCAAATGGAACGCCCATTTCACTGAATTGAATACAAGATTAAGTTCATTACAGTATTCGTTCAAAATTCTTTGAAATTCAGTCAGCCTTGATGCTGCTCGTATGGTCAGGGGCGGATTTACGCATAGGCACAGAAAGCACGTGCTTATGGCGGCAAAAATTGGGAGTAAAGAGCCTCTTTTTTTTTTGTCATGTGCTATTTAAAAAAATTGTTTTCTACGAGTATTTGAACAAAATTATTACATAGTCGCAAATTCATTTATTAACAGGCTGAAAATTTGGTGGCAAGTTGTCCAATATTTGAGAGGTCTGTCTAATATCTAAATATTTTTTTAATTGAAAACTTTGATGTAACATAAATATATACAATAAATAATACATTTTTTGTGAAACAAAATTCATAGCCAGTGATTTCATGATACCAGAATATATAGGGGCATACTATTCTAATTTTTGGGCTGATTTTTAGCGGGAAATCAAGCCGCATCAAGAGCGGGAAATCAAGTCGCATCAAGAGCGGGAAATCAAGCCGCTCATACACCTAGCAACACTGGATGTACTGTTGTGTGTAAACTAGTGGTACTGCTACAGCACGTACTTTAGGCGATATTATTTATGGCTATGTAATATTATAATATAACAATTTCTGTCTTACACTTCAACTATCATTTCAAAAATTCTTAAACAAAAATTCGTAGTTTTTTAAATTTAAACGTTCAAATGAAACCAGCATTCTGCAATTGAATTCACAGTATTCACGATCTATATAAATGAAGCATCGATGCGCGATGCGTATTTCAGTTGTAAATAAAATTATCAGTTTATATTAATGCGAACGAATGGCGGCCGTCGTCGTCATAAACTTTAGTTACCAGTGCGGTGTTACGTGTTGCAACAACGAACACTATTCGTACGAGATACACATTTTGCAAATTAGTATTCTTGATACCGCTAGCAAAAAAATACACTAGTTAAAGGCTTTCAGAAGGCATTCGGGGTATTCTTTTACAACTATTCCCAGAATCGCGTTGGGAATTCCGCCAGGTCCCGGTGCTGTTCTAATCTTGGTCGTCATCGTTTGGACTAGTTCGTCCTCCGTGAAGCGGTTGGCTTCGTCGAAGTGGTAGTCAGAAGGACGCATTCACTGCTAGGGAAAAGGGTTCTGATAATTGCCTTCACATACAGGATCTTCCGGTACCGCAGTTGTTGGTTTAAATTTGCCCATAAAAATCTTGCAGGCTTTTCCCAAGGGGTCGTCGTTCACATCATTTAATAGGACCTTCCAGCATTTTATTTTGCTTCTTTTAATCTAAGAATTTAGTCTTTTGCGGTCCGTCTTATAATTTTCCCCTAGTAGAATGTCCGTTTTAACTCTTGTAGCAAGTCTTCGAGCTTTAACACATGCTTGGCGGAGCTCTGCAATGACCGCTGTCCACCAGTACACCTGGTTTTTCCCTTTCGGGCTCCTACGTCTGGGCATTGAAATCTCACACGTATTTTTAAAGGCTTTGCACGTTTCCCGTACTATCTCTTCGAGGAACACTGTACTTTTCCTTTTTCCCCACCCCATGATCACCAGTTGTTTTGCTTCATCAAGGCATTTTATGGCATCTGCTTCTTTAAGCTTTTTGGTGTTTCATGATGGACCGATGTTTGGCTGATACCTTCTTCTAGCTGTTTCCAGCGGATTCAGTGGAGAATTCGATGTAGCGATGATCGCTAAGTGTTTCTACGTCGAGAACCTACCAATCCGGGACATTCCTGCAATCATTGTGGTCCATTGTGTTGTCAAGTCTATTATCGAAGAAGCTGCGCCCCTTTGAAATGTACATGAGCTCCCTGTGTTTACAACTACCAGGTCCTTCCTAGCCAGGAATTCGCAGACAATATCGCCTCTACGATCAGTTCTGCTTTCGCCCCACTCCGGGGACTTGCTGTTATGTCTCCAGCCACTATTATTTCTCCTGGGGCTGAGTTCATACTTGCCTCCAGTTCATTGATGTGTTTCTTAAATCTCTCTATTAGGGCATTTGGTTAGAAATAGCAACTATATATTCTGAGGTTGTCCATTTCTACCCATACAAACCCTTGGGTGGTAACTTTAAATTTTGAGGTTCTCATTTTGGAGATAAGTACTATAATTCCTGCACGTCTGGTCGAGTCCTGGTAGTAGGACATGTTGACAATGTCGTGCTGCTCACTGACCAATAAGACCGCCTGTCTTTCCCTCACCATTGAATAAGTAATTCTTGGGAGGTCTTCCCT